GGGTGTGTGTGGGCTGAGGGCAGAAGGCCCATCTTGCCTGTCATCTGGAGAGACGTGTGCGCAAAATGTTAGCTCCGTGGCTCTGATTCAGCTCTCGGTGGCTGGCTTCGGAACACGATGATGGAATGGGGTGATGGGGACCCAGAAGAGGGAGCTGGGCTGGAGAGGAGTCCTGGACTTTGGCAGAGGACCTGGGGCTGCCTAGAGAGGACTCTGGGTGGGATAGTGAAGGGGTTGCGTGGGAGTCGTAACATAGGATGCGACAGTGTGGACCTAATCGGGTAAAATGAAGGGGGTTCAGAGAAGGGCTGGGATGGGAGACGGGGCACTGGTGTGATGAAGGGGACCCTCGGTGGGTGGAGAAGACTTGGAGTGTAGTGACGGGACGTTGGGTGAGGGTCCAAGGGATGGTGAATGGGGAGATGGGGGTATGGAATGAGTAGAAGGAGGCATTACATGAAACGGATGTGGTGAAAGGCTATGAGAAGGGGTTCCTTGGGGTCCCTCCCTTGGCTTGCCCTTCCCCTGTCTCCCCACTTGCACCTCAGGCCAAGACTCCCTGCTCCCACTTCTCAGAGCGCTGCTTCCAGCCTCACTTCCCGCGGTTCCCCCAGCCCTTTTCTCCCCTGGCCGCGTTCAGTGGGTTGTTAACCGCCCTTCCCATTCAGGGACCTGCATGTAACAGCCGGTATTTCGGGGCTGACCCTGCGAGCTGTCCCTCTGCCTGTCTGTCTGCCTGTCTATCTCTCTAGTCCCAGTTCCCACCAGCCTGGCCTGGAGGAACCAGCAGCTCTCCCGGTCAGAGGAGCCCGTGAGCGCCTGGGCCTGGGTCTGTGAGCCGGAGGTTCCGCTGGCACTGGAGTCTCCAGCACATTCCCGCCGCCTGCTGGAGTCCCAGTGTGTTCCCAGGGCCCGAGTGTGTCCAGGCCACGTACAGTCAACTCAAGGTCAAACCTGCCTGCCACTTCCCCTGCCAGGACCTTCAGCCCCCGTCTGTATCCGCAGGGGCCTAAACAGGGGCACGATAGCCTCTGGTTTGGGGAAGAGGAGACCAATTTCAAAATAGATCATGATAACAACAGTAATATTGGCAAAGCCATCACTCATCGGGAGCTTCCTCGGGGCAAGGCTATGGGGAAGCTCCGTACCTGAATTGGAACATCCTCACCACTATCTGTGAGGCAGATGTCACTTTTATCTGAAAGAAACTGAGGCTCGGAGACTTTGGGCCCGTTTGCCTCCACGGCTTGTGCTTGGAACCCCTGCAGGCCCTGCGAAGCCCCCACGAGCTGCGGCTGCTCTGGGACTGGGAGGCGTGAGTGGCGCAGGGGAGGGTGCTCATGCTCAGTCCAGAGCCGCAGCTGCAGGAGGGGCCTCCTCCTCCAGGCTCCCTGGCCAAGGCCTGGGATGGCCCCCAGCCCCTCATGGGCCTCAAGATCTCCCACCTCCACCAACACCCTGGGAAAGCCACTAATTGGTCACACTTGTAGCCAGTGTGGGGGTGACCTAAATTTAGGCTGCCTCCCTAGGCTGTGAAAGGGAGCAAAGGGGTGGAGTGAGAGGCTGTCCAAAGTCCACTCCTGCCTCATCTGCCCTGCCCCACAAGCAGCAAGGCAGCAGGACCCCCTGCCAGGCTGTGGGGTGCCGGAGACCCCCCCCCTCCCCACAGCTCTGTGTGGGTGTACTGGGCTGCTGTGTTCCCGTGCTGCCGGTGGGTGCGTGACGACGGCAGCTCCCACCCGGCAAAGCCGTGAACAGAAGGGGCGAGCTGCCTGCAGCTTTAAATAGCTCCTCGCTCTATCTCACTTGCCGAAGCCCCACCCTCACCCCCACCCCCAAGTCTGGCTGCCCCAGGGAGGGGCTGCGTGAGCCCCAGAAATGAGGCCAGAACAGAGGGGCTTAGCTCCCCCAACTCAGAAACACCCTC